TTAAACTCTTTATCCATTACTTTTAGCTAACTTTTCAAGTGCTTTAATAGGCCTAGTTGAAATGTGATTTCTATTTTTTCTAATAATTTCAGCTACTCACAGTCACTGTTGACCACTGTGTGTGTCTGTTTATGTAAAGCAGAGTCTATATTGTTTTTAGCACAATTAAAACGGTATCATTTATCTCCTCCTTTCAGAGACATCAGGAATATTGGAGTGCGGTTGCCTGGTCACATGAAGAGGATAGCATACAGCATCCTGGGTCTGAAAGATGAAACCAGCTCCCTCAGCGTGTTTGCTGTGTGATCTAAGCATTCCTCCAAATCAAAGTGCACTGACCGACCGTGCCATTTCACTCATGGAGAAGGACTGAAGTAGGGAGGGGAGGGAGGGGGGGTGAAACTGAGCTACGCTGCAGGTTTTTTTTTTTTCTTTTTTCTGTGGCGCAGTGTGGCACGACTGAAGAGGACCCTCCAAGCCACTCAGAAAGGACTGAGATCGAAAACACTTATGTACTTTATGATAACAGAAGGCGGATAATTTATCTATATGTAAAAATGTCTTATATGTTGAACATAAACAAGTGCAGAATGTGAGACAATGTGAGAGTGCTTGGCTCGTATTTACTGACTGAAAAATGTAACGCTCTATATGATTAAGGGCTTTTTCTACCAAGCACTCACTTTATCCTGCCAGTGTGTCTGGTTTCTACAGTTTCTGTAATCAATCAGACTTATTTGTAAATTTGGAATGATTATTCCACTCAGGGCAAAGAATCATACATTCTTATGTTTTGTAGTTGTAGTCTCTGTATCACATAATGCATTTCCTCAACATGTTTACATCATGTCTTAAAACAACTGTCCATTTTTATTTAATATTTATTTTATTTTATATTTATGTCATTTGTTACATGAGAAATATTTCTGGCGCATGTTTGCCAGGAGGTATATTTTTGTGTCTAAATAAAATCAGCGTTTCTTTGTGACTGGATCACTTTCTTGTACTCTGTAGTCAATGTATTGTATTTGTTTTTAATTGCTCGGAGGATGATCCTACTGACTTTAGTGAGGCCCTGACTTTTTGTCTAGCACCACCAGCAGCTTGACATTTTTTAAATTAGTGAAATGTCAACTATTAGATGGATTGCCAGTAAATTTGGTACAGACATTCACAGTTTTTGTGAACTTTGGAGATCCCAGACTTTTCATTTAGGTTTTCTTATTTCTTTATTATTTGCCCAATACTTCCCATCGGCCTTAGCTCTAGTTTTAATTAGCAACTATGAGCATGGTATCACGTGAAACTAGGACAGAACAGTGATACAAATACTGATGATGTTTAATAAACAGACATACTTAAGATGTAATTAATCATAATTGAGACATAATTAAGATATATATATATATATACACATATAAAGTGGTCTGCTTGGAACAATAATGTGTGTCATGTTTTTATGTACAAAAAGTATAATTTCCACATTAAACATTAAAAAAGCATTTACTCCTCATTAAAATGACAGAATATAAAAATTCAAATTGTGTTAATTTATAAAATGTTCCTGCTGACTCAAGATGTCTCCTACTTCACTG